TGGGGTACCTGTCCCTCCCCAGTGGGGGGTGGGAACCCCCTCTTACACCGGCGCTGCCAGTGCCACTTCCCTCTTGCACACAGGTCTCCAGCATGGAAGAGGCATGTGGATGCTTGCCTCCATCCCTAGGCATGATCCTGCTCTGGCAGGGGCGTTGGGCTAGAGGTTCCTTCCAACCCCGAACATTCTGTGATGTGATGCCCCCGCCCTTTTCTGTGTGGGGAATAGGCACCAGATAGCTATGGGCACCCTTCTCCCCAGATGTGGAGCCCCTGGAGCATGGCTCTGTGTTGTGTGGGTCATAGGGGACCTCTTGGTTTCTGCCCACCACAGTCCTGATGCCCATGACTGATGAGTAAAATAAGGATTGGGACAAGGGGGGAACTTTGGGCACAAAGATGCACCATCTGCTCACCACCCCTGCCCGCCTCACCAAGAATGTTGGCATCGGGGGCATTCTCCTCTCTTCTGAGGAGGAGTGCAGGGATGAGGAGCTGGGCATGGCCCCATTTCAGTGCGTGATTATTAGAGCAGAGAAGGAGCTGAGAGGGCTGAGCTCTGGCAGGGGTAGCAGTGATGGCTGTGAAATTGTGTCTGTCAGTTCATTTGTCCCTCCAGCAACCCAGGGCCATGCATCCCCGTCCTTGGCTTTGTTTTCATGACTTTTGCTCTCACAAGTAAAATGGTCTTAAACCTGTTAGAATCAGATTCAGGCCGCTGTGATTTTTTTTCTGGCGCATGACCGAGGTTTTGGGGGCGTGCTGTTCTGCTTTCTTCTGCGGAAGAGCTGTGACAGGCGGCAGGCATAGATTAGCCGGACGGGGCTGCCACAGATGCTCTGAGAGCTGATCCAAGGGGACTGGGCTCTGTGACAAGTTTGGAAGTAGCAGCAGCTCTGAATGAGTTACCAAAGGAAATGCCAGGGAGTTTGAGCTCTGTCCGGAAAGGCTAACGGATATCCTACTGGGGAGCACCGATAACCTTGTCACTCACCTGCTTTTGCCTCTCAGCCTTCATTTTTATCCTATTAGAGGGGAAATGGGCTATAATTTTTCCCATGTTACGTCCTTGCCAAGTTCTGCTTCGGTAGAAATGGTTATGAATGAAGCAAGCAGGGTTCCTTTTCCCCTTAAATTGTGCTTTCTATTCACAGCAGCTGCCTGCGCTTCCTCTGTTCTTGTAAAAACACCTACGGGTTTCTCCGGGAATGTCTGTGTCTCTTCTCTTTGGTAAGAGAGAGGGATGGTAAGAGACAGTAAGGTAAGATAGAGAGATGTGTCCTCCATTGCCTTCTGAAACAGGTCAGAACAAATGGACATTGGGCGTCATTTGCTTCCCCAAGCTTTGGGGAGACTTCTCCCACTTTCACTTTTTCCTCCTATTCCTTAGACATGGCCAAGGTAGCACAGTCAAGCCGTAGGCTGCAGGGAGGCAGTCTGGGCTCCTCTTCACCACCACTCAGAAAGGCCAAACAAATTCAGTGAAACTGCATTTGGGTGTTAAACATTTTTGTGACAGTTCAGCTAATACTCTTGCTTTAAGAGTTCTGCTGCTGGTGGTGGCGATTCGCTGTGATGTTTCAGTGCTAGGCCTCCAGGCATCACCAGCCCCAGCTGTAGTGAGTGGCACCCCACAGCCACAGAAAATACCTTGCCGAAGCTGGCTGCCGTGTTACTTCCAGCTGTACCCACGACCCCTCCATCCTGCTGCTGCTGCTGCTTAGATACAAAATGCCACGTTGTGCTCTGCAGCCCTAAATCCCAGCCACTGCTGGAAGCGGGAGTGCTGGCTTCTTGGCCAACGTGCATTGACAGGCTCCACTTGGCTCCAGCCAGGTGACGCCAATGCAATTTGCCGCAGCTGGAGACCTCATCCCACCCCTCCAGAAAATTTTCGTGCCAGGTGAAAGGACAATGTGCTGCACCTGCCGATGCTGTGGAGGGAAGGTGTGGGCAGTGGAGCCAGCCTACCCCTTTGCTTTATGGGACTAGAGCTGCTGCGAGAAGGAGGATGTTCTTACAGGGACCACAGATCACCTGCTTGAGCCTGGTAGGATCAGACATCGACACAGGCAAGTGTTTTTGGGAATGCTAAAGACTGCCTTGGTCAGGGGAAGAGATGAGGTTTTTGTTAGACAGGGAAGTTATATAGTGGTTGTCAGCTGTGCCCCAAAGAGAACACGTGAAAGAATGTTTAAATTTAGAGGGCCCAGGTGGCTCCAGGTGTGAGAGGACCACGTACACAAATCTCATACCTTTGTTGCAGTCACTCCTGATGTCCAGAAAGAAGAGCCTCAGACTTTTAGGGATGACTCCAAGAGTGTGAAAAAGCAGCAGCACAGACTGGACATTATTCCTCTCTCTTCAAACATGAGGCTTTTATGCTGTGCTTCACAATAAAAAAGAAAATTAACCTTTCCAGCATGATGTCGACAGTCTGAAGACTTGGCTTCCTCCATGCTCTCTTCTTCTTTAACACCTCCCCAAGAGCAGCTGTCCATCCCCTAGCCCCTCCTGACCACATCCAGCATCTTTTGGGTACCACTTCCTCGTGGCATCCCACGTCAACTCCCATCCGTTCTGAGATGCCTTTTGCTGGTTGTTGCCTGTTCAGCTGAGCAAGCCCAGCTCCACCCTCCTCCCAAGCACCTAGCACCCTCCCTCAAGGAGGCTGAGACCATTTGCACTTCACTTCTAGTTTATCCACAAGTGGCTGCATGTCCCGAGACTGCCTTTAAAAGCAGCCACCTCCCTGGTGTCATGCTGAGGAGCAAGGGGCTAGTGACTGCTGATCGTGGCATTTGCTCTGTGAAGAACACAGAGGACAAAAATGTCTCTTTTTTTTAGGGAAATAGTGCCCCAGGGTAGTGATGGCTACAGGGGCAAGGTAGGGCACATCTCTGTGGCATCTGCCAGATGGTGGCCCTTTGGGCGTATCAGTAGGTCGTGTGGTGTGTGACAACTGGAATCCAGCCAGACCCCTGTAATGCTTTTCCCTTTTCTCTTCCTCTCCTATCTTGCAGAAAATAAAGCCTATGTGAGGTCCAGATTGTCTTTCCCCTTCCTGCTCTCTCCACTGCACGTTCCGTGGCTCAGCCAGTGCTGCCACCAGCCAGCACAGGCTCCTTGGCAGAAGTTAGTGATAGCCAGTTTCCAGCAGGTAGAGTTCCTGCCCATGATTTTGCATTAGTCAGAGCATTGTTTCTCCTGTGCAAGGCTCTTCTGGGAAGGTTTTTGCTTTGCCAGGAGAGGCACGAGTGAGAGGAAAAAGAACTGATTGCCTTTGCTCAGCAGCCCATCAGTAAGCATTTCCCCGTGTTTCTACATGACCGTGTGGAAATAGTCACCTGTGTCTTTCAGAGAGGGGCAAGAGAGAGCAAAGAAGTCAGGCTCCCGTGTAATTAATGTTTTATGGGTGCTGCTGGCCATTGGTGATTTCGAGAGGATCCCGGATACAAAGAACTGAGAGAAACTGGGCAGAGCTGATTACTCAGAGGAGAAAGGGTAGGCAGGAGCTGAGCAGATGGTAAAAGGATGGGGAGGAGGAGAGTAGGTAGCAAGGACTAGCTGTGAGAAGGGAGATAATTCCCCCAGGGAGGGGAGGCTGGTGCTGGTTTTGATTACCCAGAATGAGAATGCCTCATCTTCCTCTCTGGTAGTCATTGCTCAGAGATGCGCTGCTATTAAGTGCCACTTTTCCCAGCTGGTACACTTGCCCCACATCCCCTTCAGCTGGACAAAGGTGATCCACCAGGACAAATGGCCTCTGCTCTGTAAGTGTTCACCATGCTCTGCCTTTCACTTCAGCTCACGCTCTCTCTTTCACTTAAAAACCACAGCAATGAGACATTAGTTTTGTCTTGGTTTGAGCTAGAACAGAACCAATTCTCTGTTGAGTGATTTTACTTGGCAGCTAAGTCTCTTGTAAGAGACTGCACTTTCTGAAGTTAACAGCATGTTTTTGCAGACAGGGTTCTGCTACTAGAAGTGATAGCAGTTGCTGCTTATGGTTACTACTAAGGATTGTTAAGCTCTTGCTTATACCTGCTGCTATAGAAATAAAGGTCACTGCTAAATCTTGTGTACCATGTTGGGGTGCCAGGAAGTAAAAAGGTCACAAGAAAGTAAAAGGTCACACCTGCAGGGAGGAGCAGACAGTACAGGTGACCCAAACCTGACCAAAAAGTATTCCATTCCAACCCATGGATGTCACATTCAGTATAAAGCTGAGGGATCACAAGGGTCAAGCCCTCTTCTTCAAGGGCCCGTGTCTGAGGAGGACTCCATCAGTTCTTCTGCCTTTGATCCCAGTCCGTGCCTTCCTGAATCGAACTCCTGAATCCATTTCCCAGTTGTCGCTGAATCCAGTCTGAGACTTCCCTGGTACCTGCTTGCCCTGCAGCATCAGTGGTGACCTTATCGTTGTTGTCGGGGGAGTGTGATATTCAGTCCGTATATATTTGTATAGATTTCAATATTTTCTGATTAATAGTATTATCTTTTATTTTTATTGCTACTGTTTCATTAAAGCTGTTTTAGGTTTTTTTCCAATCCATAAGTAGCTCCCTTATTCCCTTTCTCTTCCCCTTTTGGGATGGGAGAGGGGATTAACAGAGCATATCTGTCATTAGTTTAGTGGCCAGCCCAGCCTTAACCCTTGACAAGTTTGCAAAGGAGAGGGCTGAGGCAGGATCCCACCCAGGCCCAGCCATCAGCAATTTTAACCTTGGTTTTTAATTGCAGGCTGCTACAATCAGTCCAGGAAAGTGTGAACACGACACACAAGATTTTTTTAAGCTGGTTGAATGTAACCTGTTCTTTCACGACCAGATCACCTCTCCACATGTCTGCAGACACCAGCCTGAAAACCCACATTCCACTGTCACTGGAAAAGGTCCAGCAGGAGACGTGTCAGAGGCTGATGACAGAAGCCACATGCTATACAATTATGGCAGAACCTGCCTGCATGGAAACTCCCTGGCATTTAGAAACTGGAGCATTTCTGTCCATCCAAGTTCCTTTAAATTTAAACTCTAGAGAGACATAGAAAACAAAGTATGTAACACAATGTGTCTGCCCAAAGCCGTGCTGGACCCTCATGCTGAAAGTCATACGTCATATGGTTACGTGGTTCATATGATAGTGGGCAGTTGATAGCATAACTATGAAACCATCAGTGTGTAGCAGCCTTGCTATAGTATCAGCTACTACTTACACAATTACTTCTACTGTGGGTCTGCTTGGCATGGGCCAGCTGCACTCATGGTTATGAGTAGGTGTTCCACAATTTCCTCCTGCAGTGGAAGGTTTGTCTGTAGTAGCACCTGCTTTTAATCGCTTGGGTTCAGTGGAAACAGGCTTGAGAAGGAGCATGGGTGGATGCCTGGGCACGGCTGCAGCTGTTCTCCTTTGCAGATGCATCGCGGCAGCAGCCAACTTCTTTTGGGAGGAAAGCCTCGCCCAGCACGCTGCAGCTCTGCTGTTTCTGACAGCAGGTAAGGCGTTCTTTTGGCATGCTAATGATGAGTGAAGGCTTCACCAGGTTTCCCCTGGGCAGGCAGCATGTACTGCCAGTACATGGAGCACGACTTTCCCTCTGATCTCCAGCTACTGTCCCTTGTATGAAGCGAATCGCTTACTCATAGACGTGGAATAACTAATAATTAGAAACAAAAAAAAATGTGAAAAATGCTCTAAGGCCTTATGCAGCAGCAGGAAAGGACCACAGGGCTAAAACAACTGCTCTCTTCTCTTTACGTGTGCAGCAACCTCTTTCTTCTCCAGAACACAATGGTTCCTTGCTGCAGTTTGCAGTCCGTGATGGTGGTCTAGATATTTCTTGTGACAGTGAAGTATGAAAGGGGAATATGTTTTCATCTTTTTTTTTTTTTTGTTAAGTCTTAGTCAAAAAGTTAGAGGTTGTTTAGAGGAAGAGGAAAGGTAAAATCCATGAACACGAAGCCGGCATGAATTTGAACCATCCAAACTCACAAGGCCAAGCACAACACCTTCTCTTGTGCCAGGGGAAATATTTTTATTTGAGCAGCAGTAACGCACAGCACAGCTCTATTTTTAAAATACAATTGGAAAGCACAGGCCTGAAGAAAGGCTCACAATGCTTGACTAATTTACTGGCTTAATGAAAAACACAGGCTAATGAAAAACACTTAAGGAAAAGTGACCCAACAGAAAACCCTAGGCTGGGAGAAGGGTGTCAGCAGAGAGCTGTGGAGTGATTTAGCCCGAACGTGTTCCTCTGCAGCAGTATGTGGAGGGCTACCAGTGGAGGTAGATTACCTGCTCAACAACCTCCAGATTACACCCAAAACAATTTCCCCTGGCTGCTCTGAGGCATGTGGCAGGCTCTGCTCCTGTAGAGGGGATTCAGCATCCCGACACCAACTCGAGCGATGTAAATCTGCCCCGTAGGTCAGATCTGATTGCAGGTAGTGGCTTTGCCTACCTTGCTCTGTTTGAAAGGCAGACATGACTAAAGTAACAGAGGAGGCTCTCAGCCTTAAAAGTAGCAACCAAGAATTTTGCTGGATGCAATTCACAAACACAGAGCTAGAGCCTTGCATAAGTAGGTAATACATAAATTTTATGAATGCTGGTAATTATCACCTGTGTGCTACCCAGCATAATTAATACCAATAAAGCTGGGTGCAAGTTATTCGATTAGTAAGGCCCAACATTTATTTTGTTATTCACGCCATGCTTCATCTCAAAACAACAATGCTATTTTTTGCCTTATATTTCTTGCACTTAGGCAGCCAGGGTGTCATATGACCTAAACCACCTGTTTACATCCATGTAGAACATGGATATGTCTTCTGTATTTTGTGCTTGGTGCAGTCTGGGGTTTATATTAGCAGCCAGGTGTCTTTGCACAGCTTGCCCATTTATTAACAGGGACAACATTGCAGAGCTGAAGTCCACCAGGGTCTCCTCTGTACAACTGCCCACCTGCCAGCAACAGCCTTCAGTGGTAGCGAATAGTATTTTTCAGGCTTTACTCAAAGAAGCAGAAATGACGGGAAAACTAAACTAAGGATTCCAGGCACAAAAGTCTGGTTCTTCAAAATCTGACCGTTGTGTTTTACTGGTTCAGCAAGCTGTTCTCCTGAGCCGCCCGGCAGAGAGATTTGAAAAGGAGACAGCTCTCAGAGGACGGAGATGGCTCAGGATCAGATGCTTCAGTTCAGCATGCCAAGTCCATGCAGAGGAAGATGTTTGCACTGAAAGCTAAAAAGGCGATGAAGGCTGCTGTAAGAATTTAGGACTATTTCTATCTTTCAAGGATCTGTACATAAAGAGATTAAATAAAGTCACTGTTGCCAAAGGAATCCTAGTCAGAATTATATCCCCTTCCCTAAGGCATCATCTGTAATGTTTTAAGTCAGCACCTTCTGCACTTGACCCTAAAAGGATGGCTTTGGTGCCCCTTTCCTCCCAAAATGCTCAAACATACCTTTTTGATTTAAGTGTACCTGTGTCTCTTTGTGCATTCTTTGTACATGAAGTTCCCATGTAATTTGAGAATAACCAAGATTTCCATTCTGAGTACCCAAGCTGCACCGTGAGAAGGATTACATTACTCCTGTCTGACTCAATTGTGTCAACTGTAATTTCACAGCTTAGAAATGGTGTCTCCTGCAAGGCACAGAAAGCTTATAAACCATGACAGTCATAGTCTGGACAGTGCTTGCGCCAAGCATCCCTACAGGGCAGTGCAACATGCTGGGGTTAGAGCCCCAGAGTACCTCTCCTGCTTGGGCCAAGGAGCCACCCGTGGAAACAGAAGGATAGGGAGATGCTAGAAGACGAGCAGCTTTGCATTTTCCAGTGCTTAATGGCAGGAACATGTGAGTTAACTGATGAGAGTGCCACACTAATCTCTCAGCGCCCTGACTGGCAGAGCCAGTCCCCACTGGGGAGAAATAAGAGACTTCAGTGCTGTGTTGATGCATCTGCCACAATTCATCCAGAGCTACAATATCTCATGCCATCATCCAAAAGCCAGTGTTGCTCCTGATGCATGGCATCCGTAATATTCATTGCCTAAGCCACGATTTACACCTGCTGGGCACTGGGCTAGAGTTGGCCAGGCCTCTGGAAGGTCCTCCCAGCTGCCTTGCAGAGGGCACAGGCTCTGTCAGAAGTGGAGCAGATACTGCTGATGGAGCAGAATGATCAGAAGAGCCAATTGTGCAGAAAGGGTGGATGGTACAAGAGGAACACAAAAGGGAATGGTAGGGGAAAAGGGTCAGATATAGAGTATAGTGAGCACAGGGCTGGGAAGAGAAGAAGGGAAATGTGAGAGAAAGGTTGGTTGAAGGACAAAGGAATGGCAGAGGAAGGAAAGGGAGGTGAGAGGTGAGGGTGGTGGAACACAGACATATTGTCTCAATGCAACAACCATCAATTAAATGACAGCAGAAAAAGCTGGTGCCAGATTAGGCGCAATCAAAGAAAGTAGACTAAAACCCAACAGACCAGGAAGCAATAGTAGGAGAAACCAGAGGGAGCATCTATCAGGAGCCTGCTTCTAAGGAAATTACAGAAATGAGAGATCCAAACTCCTGCAGCATCAGACAATGCAGTGAGGGACAACAGCCACAGACTGCTGCATCCAAAAAAAAGGGGCTGCATCAAAAGTGTGGCCAGCAGGTCGAGTGAGGTGATTCTGCCCCTCTGCTTGGCTTTTATGAGACCCCACCTGGAGTACTGCATCCAGCTCTGGAGCCCCCAACACAAGTAAGACATGGAGCTGTTGGAGCGAGTCCAGAGGAGGGCCTTGAAGATGATCATGGGGCTGGAGCCCCTCCCCTGTGAAAACAGGCTGAGAGAGCTGAGGTTTTTCAGCCTGGAGAAGAAAAGGCTCTGGGGAGACCTTATTTCAGCCTTTCAGTACTTAAGAGGAACCTATAAGAAAGATGGAGGTGATCTTTCTAGCAAGGCCTGTTGCTATAGGACAAAGTGTAATGGTTTTAAACTAAAATAAGGTAGATTTAAACTGGATATAAAGAAGAAATTTTTTTACAATGAGAGTGGTGACACATTGGAACAGGTTGCCCAGAAAGGTGGTGGAAGCTCCATCCCAGGAGTCATTCAGCGTCAGGCTTGATGAGGCTCTGAGCAACATGATCTAGTTGCAGACATCCATGGTCATTGCATGGAGGTTGTACTAGATGACTTGTAAAGGTCCCTTCCAACCCAATGCATTCTATGACGCAGGTTTGGAGGCTCACACGCAAGGAAAGCTTCTCCCCCAGGAGAATGGTGTCCCCTGGGATGTGCACCTAGAGTGGCAGGGATCTCCATCCTTGAAGGTTTCTTGCACAGTGCAAGAAAGCAACTGATTCCCAGCCGCAGAGATCTTTCTCCATTTGTAAATGAAAGCCCCAAATGATGTGACCTAGCATTGGCAATAGGCCTGCTCCAACAGGGAGGCTGGAGGCCACCAGAGACTCCCTCCCAGAGGAATGTCAACTGTATTGAGAAGACACCTCAGCATTGTATAAAGTTGAAGGGGCTCCACAAGCAGTTCTCAACAACCATAAGTTTTAATCTCTTGAAATGAAATTAGACTTAACATTAAAGTCTCCTCCCTTACCCAGCTAAAACACCTTGTCAGAATGAAGAAAAAAAACTAAAAGAAAACAAAAAAATCCACACCCCAAACCCCATACGCACTACTAATAGTATCTCTGTACTAATTGCAGCAGAGGAACACAATGCACAAGTCCATCCCAGCTTGCCAAATTGCAAATGCTTGTCCAAAATAGCATCTGAAAGCAATCTGCAGTCATTCTCGATAAAAATACTTCTCTGTCAGCTCAGCAGCCATGGCAAAGCCTTGAATTAGACTATTGCCCCCGACCACAAATACCTTTTGCATAGATTAAAAGAACCGCTAAAAAGTCTTTCTTTTCAGGAGAATTTTTCTATATGTTTCTTTGTAGGCCCTTGAAGTATCACTACCAAGTAAAGAAAAACACTATTTTGGACAGAAATAAGGCTCTTCACCCAAAAAAGTTAAAGCATATTCATTAGATACACGCAAACACTGCAAAGTATTAAAATGGAAGAACTACAAATAGAGTAATTTATCTTCAACTCCAAGAGATCTCAATAACAACACTTCAAACCCATTGGAAAGGAACTTTAAAATAAAATACAAGACTGCAAGGTAAAGCGTACACACAGCCCTCAAAAAGAGCTGGAGACTTCTTCAGACAAGATGTGCTTCCTAAAACATACTGCTCAAGGGGAAAATCCATTTACAACTAGTATTAACCAACTTTGGCTTCACAGTTCTGCAAATGAAGACTTCCTTAAAGAAACTCTCCCTGATAATGAGAGCTTTTGACTGAACAAGGATTAGAGTCCTCTCAGAGGACTGTTTTTTACAGTAAAAGCATCTGAAACACTAGTAGGCATCTTCCACCTCT